TCATCATTTTTCTAACTTTAGAAAGCTCCCTCAAGAGCCACAGAGGACATTACACAAATGTTTTCACAAGTTCTTCTTGTGACGAGTAAGCTGAACTTCACGGGCCATTTCTTGAGACAGAACCACAGTTTAAAAAAAACATTACTTCTTCAGCTTGAAATAGTGAAAGCTGAATGACTGTTGATGCTCAGCATCTTCCAGAACTTTTTTTTGCAGCTGACAAGCTCTCTGATGGCCAAAACCTTTGTGTTGATGTCTCAGCAGAGAAAGAACAGGCTCTCCATGAGATGTTGATCCTGTAAATGGCAGTCTGAATGCACTGTGACTTGAGTTCAGCCCTGGCTGTCCTTGGTCTAGTCCCAGCCTGGCCTGGCCTGTTCACAGTCAGCGAAGCCTGGTCTTTGAGGTGCAGCAGCAAACACCAGAGTCCCTCTACAGCCATCAGTCATCACTCTAGCTCTGAACTCTATATGACCTTCCCCTCTGCTCTGGAAGGCTAGCTGGCCGTGTGCACTCTGGCATCTCCATACTCACCTTAAAGAGACAGAACCTGCTTCTATTTTCCTGAATGAACCTCAGTGGGAAGTTTCCTCCTTCAGCACCTATTAGGTATCAGAGCTGACCTAAAAGGAGTAATAGCAGGGTGAGAGGGAATGGATGAGGCCTGGGTGGAAAGAAGTGGAAGTCTTCATGTCTGGAGAATGGCCCTTTAATTCCCTCTCCTGACAGAAGGCAATGGTAGCCTGGAGGAGGGTCAGGACACCAGTTTGCATGAATAGACACATTTTTGTCTCGTCTCCAACGTTCTCTGCTCCGTGCCTCCACTGACTGTAACATCTCATTTTTTCCCCCAAGCTGGAAGTCTCAACAGTCATCCTCTTGTCATTGGAAGGCGGGCAGGCAGCTCTCTGTCTCTTCACTCACAGATGAATGGAAAACATTGTGCCAAAATCTTTGGAATCACCAAGCTGTATTCGATTGCATATAAAACACAGAATTTGAGAACATGTTTGAAAATGACAGCCTGATTGGCTGTGGTCATTTCAGGCTGTGTGGACCTCTTTTTTTCCCTGTGTTTCATCAGTGGGTGCATTCATCCATTCAGGATAGATTGAAGCAGTAGCCTTTAATAAAGTCACTAGGCTTGAAAATATATATGAATAAAATGACATCCACTGCCTTGGATGGATCAAATTGACTTATCCTGGTAATAGCCCAAGGATAATGTGTGCGTGTGTGCGAGTGAAAGAGCGTGTGCCTGTGCGGAGAGAGATCGAAAAAAAGAGAGAGAAAAGAGCAGAAACAAAGATGGATATAGGGGTAAGACAAAGGCATGAAAGACAAGAATATCAGAGAAATAAAACAAACTTGACCTAAGGGGACAGAATTCAATGAAAACCTGGAGCTGGACACATGACTTTGAATCTTATTTGTATCGGTGAAAGTGACCCATCTCAGGCAAAATGATTATTAGTGATGCTGGGAAGGAGAAAAACAAAGCCATTAAAGGAGAGAGCAGAAGAGGGAGAGTGACAAACTTGATCCTAACAAAGTTAAAGGGTTATTCAACACAAAACATCAAAATTATGAGTCCAATTTCTCCAATTCTACGGCAATTTGATCGCGCTGAGCCACTGAGGACTCCCAAATCGAATAATACACCAGAGGAGACATAAAGAGTTGAACAAAGGGAGCAATGATGACAAAAAAAAGTTTATATTTCAGTCAATTACAAGGAAAAGAACACACACAAACTCATGTCCTCGCCCATTACGCTGCTTTCCTTTCATTTCCACCCATTTTCCCGTCTTTGTTTCGCAGATGGGTGTTGGACTGCGACGTTGACGGAGTGGTCGTGAACCACAATAATGACAGTCAGAAGCGATGCTGTACAAGGAGACACATGTCTGTTCTCTGCTCTTCAAACGTCCAGCTTAAACTCCTGCTATGTGTGAATAAAGAGGACAGGAAGTGGCAGTTTGGCAGCTCCAACCAGGAGTGTCACTCTCAATTGCGTCCCCTGCCAGCTCCAGACACATCGCACGGCCAAAGAGGTCACGGGTCTGACTCCTCTTTTTTCCCTCTCTCTCTCTCTCCCTCTCTCTCTTTGTCTCTCTCTTTCCTTCTCTCCCCTCTTTCGTCTGTTTTACAGGACATTCAATGCCACCTACGCAATGCATAACAGTCAAGGAGAAGACAGAATGATGCACGGAAGACACGAGCTAGAGCGACGGCGGCACATTTTTTGAACGCTCCGATAAAACATGAGGCTTGTCTTGTCAGATTACCCTGACACCCTGTGTCAAAATCCCTGCCATGTCTCCGTGAAGCAGAGAAGCAGATGTCCTGAGTTTGCCTTCCTCCTCTGGACAGAGCTGTCAAGATTTGCTCTTGAAGGACACCGAAGACAGCGCAGATGGAAAGAATGAGTTGTCTGAGATTTTGCTTGTTTCTCTGTCAGGAAAGAGTTTTATGATGAGAAACAGGATGCTCTGTGTTGACAATGGCGCTGTATTTTCTATTACAGGAATTGTTCATCTTAACAACTCACACAGCATAGTACTCTTAGTCTTGAAAACACTCCTTTTCCATGAAACAGGTCTGCCAACTCAGCTTCTTTACTTATTTAAAAAAGTAGGTTACCTACCTTAATCTATTAATCTATAACCTACCCGATGGCATTCGTTTGTAGAGAAAACTTTTACCAAAAAAAGACATTTTACAATTGAATAAAAATGACACTAATATTAACTTTAAGTACATTTACTCAAAAGCAGTGCTTAAATATTATTTTAAAGTACTTGTACTCTAGGTATTTCAATTTCATGTTACTTCATGCTTCACTTGTACTTTTCATTTCACCACGATAGTTACTCGTAACATTTCCTAAATTATGATCACGATGCATCATTGCAGATTAAAACTGTATCTAAAATTGTCGAAACATTTGCTCCTTCATGACAACATTAGGATGCTACATACACGTAGATACATTAGGGACAATAGTTCAATAATATGTATCATAATCTAACAATTAGAATGGTGCAATTTTGCAAAATGAATAGATATTTGTTGCTGATGATATTTATGTACTTTTACTTAAAATTGCAATTCTGGTTGATTCGGTGACACCTGTGGTCACTGGTGGCAACAACAAATGCAGTTTAACACGACATGAAACACTCCTTGAGCAACTCTTTTATCAGAAATACAACAGTGGCGGTGGAACACTTACCTAGTTTCCTGTGAAACCCTCATTTCTCTTCCACCACTGCTTAAAGGACAATGGTCTATTTGCATTACAAGCCTGTGTACACCCACACTGGGAAAGTCATGCTACTAGTTCTGTGCTTCATGTCATTTCCTACACTAACTGAGGAAACAAAGCTCCACAGTTATAGCATGAACCTAGATTAAAATGCACTCATAAATGTCATTTGTTTCCAATAAGAAATGGTTCTTGATGATAATAAGCCCTTGGCAAATAGAAAGGAAGTCAAATGGATTTTGATTCCTCTCCAAATCATTCAGTTGCTTCCCACTAATGTAACTTGATCAGAGCACTCTCAAACTGGAGCTCTATGAAATGACAGCTGAGATTAATTTTGTCAGCCTTGTAATCGCGCCTTATTGATGTGTTTCCTGTGAAATGGCACATTGGAAAGAGCAGCTTCAGCCACGGGGCACTAGTGTTTCATACAGTAGTCATGGATGGACATTTGATGTTGACCTCCTGATCGCACACCTTCATACCGCCGGGATGGCAGGCAGGCAGGCACGCACACACTCACAGGTAATGCTCTATTATGCTGATTTATTGAAGGTTAATTTAATCACTCTTGTAATACCTGACCAGAGGGTGTTCTTACCCGTGAAAAACCCAAGAAGCAGGAAAAAAAGAGGAGAAAAACATGACAACAAATCAAAAAGTGATTTCATGAAGGTGGCACCAGAGACAGGCCAATCCATCAGAACGGCGGCAGACTGTGGACGTGTTGCCACGCGTGGTGCCAGGCGAGGTGCCAGGCGGTCCAAGGCACATCCTCCATGCCAGCGCCCTGAGGCTGTTTGTCCTCGTCACAAGGACAGAGAGGTCGTTAGGACCAACTGCACTAAATCACATACCTCCTCCCACCCACTGTCATGGCCGGCAAAGCAGGTTGATGCAGAAATACTGGGAGAGGCAGAACGGCTACTGGTCGAATGGACTGGTTTGTTCGTGGTATTTCACATCACATCCTCTTATTCCAATTGATACCGTGATATATGATGTTGTTGTGACACTTCACCGGCTTTTGAGAGCACCCCAATGTCGACAAGGCTTTACACAGAGTGAATGATTCCCCCTAAATGCATTTTAGAGTTTTGCACAAATACATTTTCAGAGCTAAGTAAACAATGCAGGCCATTATCTAGATGTATTGTTTATGCATTTTTTTTGCTTTTCCGCTCGGTAGCTGGGATAAGCGAGAGAGCGGCAAAGAGAGAGGCAGAAAGACAAAGAAGCAGAGAAGAGAGAGAGAGAGGCAACCTCCTTCTCCAAAAGACATCAACTCTGTGAACAGCACCGGCAGATTTTCCATTCCGTCAGCATTTTCCTTTACGTGCCGAACAGATAGCTAAAGGTACCACTTAATGTGATGGGAGACAGGATCTAATGGATTGATACACAGGTTTTGACATGCTATTTGAGCATGGAGCGCGCTATAATTGGTCATGTCATTGTGCATTAAACTAACGATATATAGAGTAGTGCCCTGAGACGAGTGTCTTTAGCAAATCTGTCAGATATCACACCAAAATGCCTCTGACAGCTATCTCAGGCAGCGGCAGCACACTGCAACACAGCAGCATGAAAACCCGCACTCACTAGTAAAGGCACTTTTTGGAAATCAGACCACCATAAACTCACCTCTCTGTCGCTTCCTCTCAGCATCTCTGTCTCCATCTCTTGCTCTCTTGCTCACTCAGACATCATTGCATGTTGTTGGTGGCTTAAATCTTTTGTGGCAATTACATAAATTACATTATAGTCAATTTCTTTAACGCTTTATATAATATTTTCTTTCCGGTACAAATGGAAACAGGCCAAGGACCTTTTTATTGGCTGTCGTAGATGCGTGTGACTCCTCCCATACATTAGAGACCGGGGTCAGAGGTGCAAGGTCAAGCTAACTTGGCTCTACCCATGTCTCCTTTGCTGCTGTCAGAAGACATCATGTCACCTTTCCTATGGAGTCTGTGTGAATGGACAACACGTCTTACATTGTCTTCCATCTTGGCATGCAGGGGTTTAGTGAGGCTTGAAGTTTATTTGTAGCCAACGACATGGTTGTTTATCAAATTACGATGTCAAGCCAGCGACACTTAGAGGAACATTTGATTTGTTGGACCTTTTTAATAACGTTTACCCATTTTATCCTCTTAACCTGTTGATATTTTAAGAGTCTTTCTGATTAACGTGAAGCATTAAAACACACAAGAGAGCTGACGTCTATAAATCGTACTGAAACCACAATTTATGCATTTTCAGAACCACATATATTTCTGCATATGACGCAGCTGTCCGTATCAGTTCACACAACGGCACACTCACACTGAGGCAGGAGTGACATATACATCAACATGCTCTAAAGACATCCACCACTATTTTGGCAGCCATTTTGTTTTCCTAAATACATGGCTCCTCGGCTGTCCGTCTGTCGGTGCTGTCAGCCACTCCTGTGTGATTGGTCTGATAGGCTTGATGCTCATCACTCTGTCAGGCTAGGCTCGCCTTTCATTAGTCTGGGCCCCTCCATCCGCCACACTCACACAAATCACATTGACATCCAAACTCCTCAGATCCACAGAGCAATTTAACTGATATTCATTAGAGGGATGACAAGAGCTGATGGGAGATCTGTGGAGTGGAGGAGTGGGGGGGACTCATTCTCCTCCTATCCTATCCCTGTCCTGTCCGCCTCCTTTCTTCCCCCTTCACTGCTGACTTTGTTTTAGGAGCATTGAGGCGCATCAGCGTCTATAACTACCCAGCCCTCAAGGATAGTCAAGACAAAAGAACAATGGATAACACATCTAATCTCCTCTTTATTGTCGCAGAAAAATACAACTGAGAGGAGTTTGTGTCTTTCATATTAAATAATTGGCTACAGCAGATCCATAGCTTCTACATTGCTCTCCTCTAGCAGCCACTATAATGCTCATCCAAGCAGAAGTCCAATCATTTAGCCCTCTCCCTCCAGCCCCTCATTAACCCCCAAAGTGTCAACTATCTCATTAACTCCCCCAACCATCCTCACCCCGAGTCCACCGCTAAGCCTAAAGCATTCATCAACACATACAGTGTTGGAAAAAAAAAATGGATCATATCTGGAAGGACTCAGCAAGCTTTGAGAACTCACAAAATATTCAATAAGGCAGCTCAGCCTGTTTCATTTGCATTATCAATGGCTACCGGTCTGAATCCCATCTTTCAATTATCATCCTTTGTTAAGGGCTTTATTCTCCTTGTCAGATGTGAGTCATCACTGGGTTCTCCCACAACGTTAGACCAATGTATCCTAAACGTCGGAGGGCCGGGAGCAAGTCTGAGGCGGTAATGAGTTTGTGTGAGAAGACGGGGTCAGGACACAGTGTGTGTGTGTTAATTAATCTGTTCCCGGGTGGGAGGAACTGAAGCGAGATGATGAGATTTAAGAGAGTAAATGGGTGTGCTGCACTCGAGCTGTCCTCTGTTGAGTGAGCGAGCAGGGTTAGAGGCTGGGCAAATGGCCGTCACCATAGTAACCAGATAACTTCCCTGGCCCCGAGTCACTCAGTCAGTCAGTGATGACAAGCAAAGCCTGGGAACATCAAACAGAAAGAACATGGTGTCCCAAGGCGTCTTCAAATAAGACAAAAGGTAGATGGTGGAAAATCGGAGAAGTAAATGTGTGTGTGAGTCTTTATCATGCATACTAAAAAACATGGAAAAAAACTTTATCATTACATGGCACTGAGCCTGAATTGTGACTACTCTGATAGCATCAACACCTGCCAGTAAGATTGTTAGATCCAAAAGCCTGTTTTGAGGGAATAGCACCTGTCTGTGCATTCTGCACCACTGTCAGCTTGTCTCAGCGCGCGTATATAGGATCTGCTTTATTTTTTCCAAGGGACAGTCTTGGAGTCCAGGTGTGTGCCAGATCTGCTGTCTGTGCCCAGGGCTCCTGATGGCATCCAAGCCCCCGTGGTAATCAGCCCACTCTGCCTGCTGTTGCAGCCCGCCTGCCTCCTCCTCCTCCTCCTCCTCCTCCTCCAGTGGCTCGTTTCAGAAACATCTGGTGGTTTACATGCAGCACACACCACCTGCCAGACGCCTTGCAGGCAGTGGCACCGCTCGCACCTAGTGCGCCTCACAACAACGCGGCGACACAGGAATCACTGGGAATATCTAGAAAAATTGTGGTTGTGAAGACAACTGCAGATAAAAATGCTGAGGATTCTTTAAGTTCTGCTCAGTGTTTCTGCAGATGCAACCTCGTGAGCAATCTGTCAGCCAATTTATAAATGCTTAGTCATCACAAGGTGGGACAAAAATTGGGAGGGATGAGTTTTTTTTTCTCTAAGATGTATTGTTTTCCTGCAAGACAGGTGAAACATTTTATAACGGCTTGAGAATATAATTTTGGACAATACCGTGATGTGCCACTCTAACAAACCGATTTGAAATGTCGCTTGTTGAAATATTGTGTTTTAGATGAGAGATTCATAATACACCTTGATTTACACATGTTTGAGTGGTAAATATGAAAGAAAACAAATGTTTTATGCAGCAGTTAATTCAATTTAATCATAGAAGCACAAGGCATTAACATATTTGTATTGGTTTCTTTTTTTTATCAAATAACATTTATAAAACTATTGTGCAAAACAATGTCCTTTTCATCTTCTTCAAAGGCTCTGCACCAGTGGATAGTCATAGTCCTCTTAAATTAGGAAATATAACAAGTATGCATAATTTAAACAGCAAGTTGTAAGCTTATACACTATATATACATTTTTACACAGACCTGGATTCTAAGTTCCCCCTTACTTGATAAAGAACAAGGCAGCTTTTACAATCAGCAAGAAAATCAACAGGCTGTACAGAGAAAACAAAAAAACAAAACAAGCAATGAACCTTTGCTGTTTGGCAGATTCTTTTAAAAGAGCGTTCCCAGGCATTTGGCTGTTTTAAGGTGTTAAAAAAATGACCAGTTTGAAAGGGCATTTTAAAATGTGGACAGGACAGGACAGGACTGTACAAATGTTAACAGTAAAACTTGTTGAACATGCAGTCTACCAGCAAATCAGAACCAACCTCACAAAAATACAAAATAAATACAATAAAGTTAATACATTTCAAGTTATTAGCCGACCTTCTAGTCAAGAGATTCACCATGATCGTGAAAGAATCTGTCCTCAACAAATCACGCTAAATATCTTTGACCTACAGTATATTTTGGTGAAATCTGAAATGTTTATCGGCCGAATAGATGTAAACGCCATGTGCTGACTATTTTAAGAGTAGTTCATGCCATCATTGTGCATTACCACACTTTCAAATAAGCTGTTTTTATTTTTGTTTTCAACAGCCATCCTATATATGTCTACTGCTGAGAGTAATTTAATGTTTCTCTACTTCGCTCACATATAGCAGATGGTCCTCTGGAGACTTCCCATGGCTCTTGCTGAGGTGAAGCTTGATGGCGTGCTTAGTGGCAAATTTACGGACGCAGAGCTGGCAGCGGAACACTGTCCCATTACTACTGCAGTCATCTTGTGATTGTGGAGAAAGGAAGGACTCCAGGGGCACTAGTTTCTCAGAGAGAGTGTGGGAGTCTCTGACAGTCTGTTTAGGGGACAGCTTGGCCAGGTCCCTGATTCTGAACCCTAGGTGGGCCTCCAGGTGACATACATACGCTGCTGGGGTGCGGATCTGTGAGGCACAGTCACTACAGAAGAATACAGGTTGACCCGAGTCCAGGTTCTTGAGGAACTTGGTTCTGCCAGTTCTCCTTAGCTGGTATTTGACGTTCGCCAGCCAGTGACTGATGGTGGTCATGGAGAGGCCCGTGAAACGAGACACATGCATTCTTTCCTGTGGGCTGAGGTCGTTGATGATGTACTTCCCCTCCGATGTCTGCCTCAGGCTCGAGGCAAAGTGGGCCTGCAGGAGGAGGAGGTGCTGGGGGTTCCAGTTAGAGTGACGGCCTTTGCGTTTGTGGCCGTGCAGGGATGCTTCGTCGTCGTCATGAGTAGAGCCCACGATCTCGGCTTTGTCTGTGACCCGGGACCGTGAGGGAGGCTTTGGGACATGGTGGGACTGAGTCAGGTTCCTCAGCATGTCTGAGATATCCGACAATGCGTTTTCATGCAGAGGGCTGCTGGATGTGTAGGGAGAGACACCCGTTAGCTTTGCAGGAGTATAGAGGGAGGAGGGCGAGATGGAGGACGCCGTGGATGAAGGGGTTAGGGGGGCTGAGCCTACAGAGCCCCCTCTATCACTTTTCCCTTTAGTGAGGTCCATAGGCTGGTCATCACTGGGCTGGCAAAAGCTATTATCAACTACACTTTCCGGCTTTTTGGTTTGTGAGGGAGGAGCGGCCACAGCAGCCCTCTCAGCCATGCTCTGGCTAAGCCTGGAGAGCAGGCTCAGGGGATCTTGGTTTGGCAAGGAGGGCTTGGCTGCTTTCCCCAAATGAATGTTCATTACTGACTGAAGAGCACTTAGAGGGTTGACAAAGGGCTGCTCTGGAGGAGTATGGCCAGTGATAATGGCTGTACTAGATCTCAGTGTAGAGGCGAGCGGGGATTTGACTGCTGTCTCCCTCTTGGGTTCGGTTGCCGGGGATGCTCTGTCGCTATGGCTTCCCCTGTCGCTATTGGTTGGCGTGACCGCCCTCCATTCCCGAGGTGAGTCAGCCTCTCCTCCCCTGTGTGATTCTCCAGCCTCACTACTACAGGGAGAGGGGTGGTTCTCCATCTTTGGAGACAACTGCTTCACCCTTTGCTCTACTTTTGCTACTTTCTCAGTCACCTTTTTCACTAAATCCTCCATTGCCTGGAAGTTGTTGCTGGGGAATGGGGAGGACTGACTAAGAGGTGGGGAAACGAGGGGCTGGTTCTTGGCAAGGGAGGACAGCACCCCATCCCCTCCGTTGAACAAGAACTTCAGTTGGGAATTCTTTTCCATGCTGCCCTGTTGGAGCTTGAGGGCACTTGGGAACTGGTAGGCTGCGTGGATGCTAGGATAGCCCCCCCAGCTTGGATTCCCACTCTGTGCCTTGTTGATGGCTGATGTCACAGTGTTTTCCAGTGATTTGAGAATATCAAAGCCACCTTTAGGGCTCTCCTTCAGATCCTCTTCGGTAAGATAACTATACTTTGAGATGTCATATTTTTCCTCCTTCTCAGCATCCTCCTCCTTCCCATCTGACGTTGCAACTCGCTTCTCATTTCTTACAGCCTCTTGCTTAGAGCACTCCTCCTCCACTTCCTCCTTTTTGATATCTTTAAGAGGAGGGGAGGTAGCGGGAGCACTTGTCGTAGTTTGAAGAGGTGGAGGAGAGAAGGTGGAGGGTGCGAGTGGGACAGATTGGACCCTCTGTTCAGTAGGTGTGGTAACCCTACCAGGGTTGGGGGAGGTGGCCTCTGGAAGTGTTTTAATTCTCTTCCCCACTGAGCTGGTCACCCTTAGGAAGTGTCCTGTCACCATCATGTGGGTTCTCAGCTCTTGCAGTGTATTATGGGAACTCCCACACTCCATACACTTCAGGATCTGAAATTTGTTGGATTCAAACTGCCAAGTGTAGCTGGCACCGTTCTGGTGACCGTAGCGGTTATTAGGAGTTGTGTAGGGGCTGGAGGAAGGTTTATGTGGGGGTTCACCCAGGTCTGCCTGTGGGTGCTTAGCTTTGGGGGTTCCTTCTCTAGAATGTGGTGAGGCCGTGAGGTCCAACCCCACGAATCCCCTTTTCTTAGAAGACATGATTTTGGCTGCCAAAGGGGCCATGGGCTCCTTCAGAGGCACTTTCTGGTAGTGTTTGGTCTTGATCATGTGGACGCTGAGGTCCTGGAGCGATTCAAAGGAGTGGCCACAGTACATGCACTTCAAGACTTTCTGGGCATCCTCCTTCCCCTCCATCTCCATCAGGGACCGCTTACGTGGCTTAGACCAGCGCTTTGAGCCACTGCCTGCCCTGTCATGGTTGTCATCGCGGTAGTGGCCTGTATCATTCATGTGAATTGTCAGCTCCACCAGGGTGTCATATGCGGCACTACAGCCCTTACAGCGGAACTTACTGGCCCCAGTGAAGATTGAGCCAAACAGCTTTGGGTTTTGCCTGTGGAGTTGGACTGTACTGAAGAGGCTAGGCTCAGACTGTGCAGGGTGACAGCTCTGGGGAGTCTGCTGTTGTAGTGTCTTTGCCACTGCAGACTGGTGCCAGTCATAGCTACCGCTGCTGCAGCTACTACTGCTACTAGTGCTGTTGCTGCGAGCTGGCTTCTCCGTAGAGGCCGACGTCTGCGCCTGTGGCGGCGTGGAATTAAAGTTCAGCGGTGACCACAAGGGGCCGGTCAGGAAGCTGGAGTATATAACCTTCATTTGTTCTAAGGTGTCCATGCCTATGGGAGGTGTTTTAGTGCCACCATTCAGAGGTGCTGTGACCAAGTTGCCCTCGGCTTTTCTTGAGGGACTCTCAAAGTCTGAGAGACGGTCACTGGTCTCACTCACATGTGACTCACTGTCCATCTCTGGTCCTGAAAGCTCTGCTGCCCCAGCTGATTCCTGGTCACATGCCTGCTCCTTGGCAGGCTCTCCGCTTTGCTCCACAAACTCATCTTTCATGGGAAGGTCATCCTGAGGGGCTGTGGGCAGGTCGTCTGCTTCCGCCTCCTCATCCTCCACAGTGTGCTCTGTCAGCTCCTCCGGAGAATAGGCTGCGAGGAGAATGGAGACAAAGAGAGAAAGAAAGAGATGAGTTAAATTGCAGGGAGTGAACACGCTATGTTAGAATAACTGGAGAAAAAGTTTCCCTGCTATGTGTGCCCGAGGACTCCCAGGGATAAATGAGCCATCTGTGTGGGAGCCTTTAAAGCTGAGCTGAGAAATTACAGTCATCCCATTTCACCTCATCAACCGTTGAGGTGTTATTTTCCTCTAGGCGAGCCTGTATTTATATACTACCCCAGCCACACGGAACTTATGCCTCCCCTCTTTTCACTCCTTCTATTGGAGGAAAACAAAAAAGAAATATCTTGGCAAAAAACATAATGCGCCATTTTATTTATCTCAGGGCGCAACAGCTTGAAATGAAAACTAAATCTGAAATTAATGAAGCCCAATCTCACTGTGGCATTCTCCTCTGGGGTAATAAATGAGTTGGATCAACCTCCATCTGTCAGTTAATATGTCTGACGCCTCTTCATCTGCCTCTTCTCTGATTACACACACATACAGTACATACAGACACACACACATGCGCACACAGACAAAGAGCATATCTTGAAGGATTTCAAGAAAGGGATGTCAGACTTTCGTTGATGAAATGTTGACATGTTGAAGAGACGGTATCATCTGGACTGAAGTGAGTTCATTAGTGTCTTAAAATGTAGAAGATAGTAAATACTCTTCTGTTCAAGCTGCAGTCTTAAAAGCAAATCGCAACCGGTCTAAACGGGTGTTGAATGTCATGCAAACATAACACAAACACATTTCTCTGATCAGAAAAAAAGAAATTAACAAAATAAAGGGAGGGAGAAAATGAGACCAAGGGAAGACAAAACGCACAAGGTGAGATTCTAGGAGCGTCAACATGATGGCAAAGCATAAGAGGTCCGTCACTGTGCATGTTGCCGCCCACTGCAAAGATGAAAACTGTGTGTTGGCACACAAAAATACACACAAACTCCTGTGTCCACCCACCCAATGCCGACTCACCCTCCACTCACCCCTTTCTTCCACAGTGTCACCATGCCCCCTCCCTCATTTCCTGTCCACCTCACTCACAAAACCGCTCAACTTAAGGAAAAACAAATAATCTCTGAAAATAGCGGACGGCCTGTGGACGGGTCTGCGGCCATTTGGACAATATTGTAAACGAGGACAAATACCAGGGAAAGAAGCCGTAGGTATAACCTTTATAGTTTGGGAACTCATACAATGGAGCTTGGGCATGTGGACACAAACAGGCACCCACATACACATACACGCACTGTGACTGAATCCTTCATTCCCCCCCCCACACTCACGTCCAGTCTAAACAAAAATGTCATAGCTGAAATAACTCTCATTTCCAGTGCTAACAGCCAATCTCTAGGCAGCCATGCGGCTGGCGCTGGTCTGATTTGGGCCCTGGGGGCACAGTCAGCAGGCAGCCCCACTGAGAGGCCAGCCTAATGGAGACCTGGCAGGTGCAGACCACTCTCCGTCCTCCCGGAGATTTGGTTTGTCACTGGGTATCCATTACCTGCCATTCTCCGCTGATAGGCCCCGACAGCCCTGATCAAAAGATGTCGTCGGGCCCCAGTCCGCTTGGCAGTCAGTGGCATGTCGTTTGTAAAAAAGGCCAAGCAGGGTGTAAATAAAATGACATGATCACTTCCCCGGCCCCTCATGTTCTGGACACAATTATGATAATGTGGATGTGGAGCGGAGGGAGGGGTCTGGGAGGATGGAGAAGGGGGCGAGGAGGTAAATCGCTCACGCTCGCAAACGCGCAAGGTAGATATCTCATTGCTACCAGCGCTCAAACGACTGCCCACACCCTCTTATATACTTTCTCTTTCGCTTCTCTTGTGGAATGTATTCGTGTCAGACTCTCATTCGAAAGAGGAAATCCAGCCAGGATGAGGTAGTTAATGCGTTTGTGTCCTCACTAGCTGGTCACGGGTGTCAGCTTGCATCAGGCGAGCCCGGCACCCCGCTTGACCAAGTTGTCAGGTCACCTTTCTCTTATTCCACATATTTCTTCACATTGTCTTGCTATTTCATCAAACTATTGCCACATCCAATTTCTCGTCATGTTATCACATTCGTAAACCTTCCCAGGGCTCTATCTGTGCCTTAACTTGGTCGTAAATGTTTTACATTTCTTACTAATAGAGCTGCGGCCCAATAGGTTATTGTTCATTTGTCATTAAGCCTGGATGGCACAGAAAGAGGGATAGAAGTCCAAAAGGACCAGCTATAAAGCCTACAGAGTCTAGCCATGCTCCCAGGCAATTTAAAATGCAAAACAAAAACCATTATGTCTGAGCACTATCTGTTAATTTAATCCCCAATGACTGATAATCCATCACACAGGGCGACAACCACATCCAATTATTCTCCCTGGCTTGACTGACAACAGAGGTGATTTATCAAGCTAATAAAAGGTGATGGGAGTATAGAGGCTCCCTTAGAATAGAAAAAAAGAAGAGGATTATGAATACAACAATACTCTTGGATTGCAGTCTTAACTAATATCCAAGCATATGGTTTAGGGGCCAATATTTTCCAAATGTGTGTGTATGCATGTCTGAGAGAGAGATAGAGCGTGCGTGTGTTCATGTTATGATAAAGTGAGCCGATGCCATGTGGGGGAAAGACAAGAATCATTAGGTTCCATGATTGATTCTTTAGGGTGGGGGTGTGGTGTGGGTAAGAAGGGTAGGAGGTGCACTTTCACACAATCAACATCTCAGTCACGGCTCACACAGAAATAGCAATAATACATTCACACAAACACAAAAGCTGCAGAAAATATGTGTCTCACGTGAAGAAACACACACTTCACCTTAAGATACGCGACGTCACATGCACACCCCCACGTAATTAAAAATAAAGCTAGTCAGTTATGACACCAGCTCAACCCCCCCCCCCCCCACACACACACATACACACCCCCCCTCTTCTCAGACACACTCATACATGCACGTAGATGCAAGCGATGAGGAAAGACAGTGACATCTTGGCATGCAGGAGGCATTCCTGTGGAGTATCATTTTCATAAACATAAGGGCCGCAGACGAGGAGGGAGAGATCATCTGATAGAAATACTGCAGTGCTGCTCTGACGATCAGGAACAACAGACAGGGCAGGGACAGGGGGTGATTAAGCAGGAAGGTGCTGTGGCTGCCTCTAAAGCAGAGCCTCTCAGTGTCTCTCTCTTCGTCTCCTTCCCTCTGTCCCATGGGCTATTTCTCCTCAAGTGCTGCTGAATACACGGTCTGTTTTTGATGCTGTATTTTAAATAGGCTTCGTATGCAAGAGTGATAATATGAGGTTATAAAATGAAAAAAAATAAAATAAAAAAATCAATCATGTGTTTCTCTAGTAGAAATCTATGCATTCCGTTCTTTGCGAGATTATCGCCGCTCGATTCAAATACAATTTGAATAACGTTCAGTGAATGTGAATTTGCGGGAGCGCGACCCCATATACCTTTTCATCAAGCTACTGCTAAATCCTGTTCCTGTTCTTCAATCTGTCCCTTTATAAATTCAGTGCATATTCCTGGTCTGGCCCCCACAGCTGGGAAAACAGTCTGGGAGCATGATCACACCCACCCAACAGCAGCGGGGTAAACAGGATGTGTCATTAAAAACTCTACCTGTGTCTGACCCTCATACTCAAATGACTGCTTGGTCTCTGAAAGAAAAAAGGGACAACCTTGCCCCAGGCATCATGGTATGAAAAAGAGGAGAGTCCTTTGTGTGGTCATCATGAGTAAAATATTTCATCTGTGCTTTTTTTTTTTACGCTAGACGATAGCATAGACGGCTGTTAAACGTATTACCTCTGTTCTGCAAAAATAGGGTTAAAAAGGATTTGTTTAAATTCACAATAAGCTACTACTATTTTAAATAATGTGCTACCTACTTCATAAACCAATGTAATGTATAATGTAAATTCAATGTGTACATTTCTGTGCATTACACAAATATAAGAGAGGAATAAGAATGCTTAATTAACAAACTACGGGGATTTTTAAGAAAATAAAACAGAAACTAATGCTATTGCAAAAGCATTGTTTATATGGGTTTCAAAGCTTGATTACCACTCTATTTATATTTATAATCACTGTACGCATAGAGAACTGTACCGTGCACAAAGACACAGCTGGGATACAGGGAGGAGAGAGGAAATGGTCTACATGGGTGGTCCCTTATAGCTTACTGTTATTATTACAAAAAAGTTTTATAGTTGTTCAAAGACAACAACGGAAATCAAGCAACAGGAACAAAGAAAGCACAGAGAGTGCAGTCTATTGTTTATGGTTTAATAAATTATACAACAATGCATGACAATGGGATTTTGTTCTTTAGACATAAAGATGCACTTCTTGTATTAAAGACAACATATAAATAAAGTGAATTAATATTATTATTCAGTTGAAGGACAGAGGAAAGGTGGACGTATACAAGACATTTGATAACATGTTGGTTGAGATATCTGAAGTCAGTCGGGGATCGGATAGTGGGGAGAGAGTTAAACTGTCTCACAACATGACTAGTCTTTCTTGACATGTGTACAGTATTTTAACCGGACCTTGACGCCCTTAAACTAACACAGCCCCTCAGCAAGGGGGCTCTTACTGACAGGAAACAGCTCCAGAACGTTACAGGACAGGAAGTCACCTCAGTCTCAATCAAAAAAAAAAACCCCACAAACCACCGACTTCCACTCACTCTCTCAAGTTTCCCAGCAGCCTAAAACTCTTTAAATAGATTAGAATAATTTAGTCCAAAACAGCCCCATTCTGTCAAAATAGCAGCAGATCAGTAACATACCTAAAATGCCTTTCTGTTGCACACATTTGTCAAAGCAACACACTCAGTCAAACTTAGCTCTCTCCCTCCCTTCCCTTTGATCCTTACAGCCTGGCTGAAAGTCCCACCAGAAAATACGTAACAGGTGATCTCCGGCCATTTGAAAAAAATTAACAAGTCCTGATATA